GAGTCTGACTCTCGATTTCAGCTTAGCTCATGATCTCGCCGTTCATGAGATCGAGCCCCGCACTGGGCTCTGTGTGGACAGTGAGGAGTCTGCTTGGGATTCTCTCTCTCCTTCTCTCTCTGCCCCTGTCCCACTCGTGTGCTCTCTCTCTCTCTCTCTCTCTCTCAAAATAAATAAACATTTTTTATAAAAAAGAATACACTCTAAATGACAAGTTTTAAAATAATTTATTAAATGATGGATGATTTTGTAGATTCCCAAGTCAGCAACTTGAGCCCGTGTTCCACATTCTGAGGGTACACAGCACAGGAAACTAAACTCTCAGGTGCCGACTACACAACTTTTAGTTGGTCGCCGATAACGCCAGGTTTTCTTCTCATCTGCCCTTTTCTCCTAACAGCAGAAATGGAACAAAATCTCTAGCTGACTTCAGTTAGTTGGGTTTCAGGTTTTGATCCATAAAGTTCATCTTTTTGATCAGATTTTCTCTTAATATCTGGAGCAAGAAATAAATTGCTATTATATATATTCACTAAGAAAGCAGCTGAACATGCTGAGGATGATGGCACCCAAGGTCAAGGTACCAGCACACACTTGTGAGTGGTGAGAGCGCAAGGCTGTAGTCAGGTTCCAGGATAAAGTGCTCATTAGAGAGCCATACTTTTTCTCCCATCTCCTTACCTCTCCGTACCTCCCGCTCCCTATCCATGGCACTCAAAGTGTTTTTAGCAAGACCCACACTGAGAATCACCCACTGTTCCATTCTCTTTGTGGAAAACCAAACACAGCACAAAAATGGTGGTTTTCTGGCTCATGCGTCGTAATGGGTAAATGATTCAAAGTAAGCTGGTAGAAGTTGGCAAGAGAGATTTACTCTCCTGTACATAGAACGGCTTTTGTCCAAGTAGGTAGAAGAAACTTTAAGAACTATTCATGCTTAAATGTATGCACCAGAGTGCTGTGCCCCTGTCAAATAGGGCTCACATCAACTAAAATGACAATATTTTCCTTACATAAGTTTTCTAGTCCCTCTGTCAACATTTTGGAGTACATCATTTGTAAGGAACATCTGCAAACGCATAAAGCAATCACTTCATGGGAGACAACGAATGCTTAAAAAGGCAACAAAAGAACATTTACAATTTTTAGATATGAGTTTCAGATATGAGTTTCCCTCACTTTTGGACAAGGATGCAAATTCAACTCTGTAATAAATTACAGTGCCCTGTGAAGATTAAATGCACTCTTGGATTGAGTTTGCGCCTTCCTCCATCCTATCCTACACACAGCTGCCACACTAATCCTCCAAAAACACCAATTTTCATATGCTGCTTTTCAAAACTAGCTTCCTGGCTTCCTGTTGCATGAAAAATAGTCTCAAATGCTTTCGTCTGGCATTCAAGGCTCTCTGTGATGTGCACCCTGGCAAACATTTCACACACAAGCATGTGGTGTGGTGGAAGAAATGATCTCCGGGCTAGTTATTTAGAGACCCCACTGACCCCACGGCCCCACTGACCGGCAAAGGTCCCATGCACCTCCTGGACTCATAGGCTTACTCAGTAATGGTCTGAAAGGCTATTACTGGGTCACATGCCCAAACCCTAGAGTCGGGAGTCAGGGTGATGTTGCCACTGCCTAATCACATGGACTGAAAGTGGGAATGGCGGTTTTCCAGAAGAAAACTGGGGCATTATCATGAGCAGTCAGGTGGTAAAACAGCTGAGATCCCCTACAAGTGCCTTAACACACTGGACAAAATTCAAGGAGACAAGCAAACGTATTAACTCTCATTAGGCCTCTTGCATCACACACAATTCCACAGGGTTTTATCACACAAATGCAGCTGAGGGAGGCACTGTCTCATTCTGGAATGTAAGGAGTCTCCTACTGTCCCAAATCCATGCACTTCCATTATAGCTGCTTGAAAAAAACTTTTTTTCATGTTTATTTATTTTGAGAGGGACAGAGCACAAGCAGGAGAGGTGCGGACACAGAGGGAGAGATATTTCAAGCAGACTCCACACTGTCAATGTGGAGCCCCACATGGAACTTGAACCCATGAGCTGTAAGATCATGACCTGAGGCGAAATCCAGAGTCAGACACTTAACCAACTGAGCCACCCAGGTGCCCCCGTTACAGCCACTTTTATATAGATGAGACCCTGTCTGGGAGCACAATTTGCTGGGTTCATTGTATACAATGTACATACCCTCAATAATAACTTTTTATCTCAGGTTGCACAAATTTAAGTAACACTTAGCCACAATGGTGTAAAATGAACAAAAACAACATATTCTGTGATGAATCAAATAAAATATATTTTGAGTTAATGCTTTCTCTCTTTAAAGATAACATTTCTGATAACTGTCATCCGTTCGTGAAAAGACACAAGACCAACAGTGTGTGTGTGTGTGTGTGTGTGTGTGTGTGTGTGTGTGTGTGTGTATGTTTTTCTCTACTTAAGGCCAGATTATCTTGAGTAAAGGCCTCAAAGTTTGCCTGAAAGCTTTCAAGGCAAATTGTCAGGTTGAGGGTGGTCACCACCCAGCCAGATGGCTTGCATACATCTTCAGTGCCTTTCTTCTACACATGCTCTCTTCCTGGTTTAAACCTTCATGATCCCAGTTCTATAGTGAAACAGTATTTGCAAGTCTCTCTTGACCATAAACTCCTAAAAGTTGGGGACTTCTCACTTCGGTTTCCCCAGGGCTTGGCATTTTGTTTGGCGTTGGGGCGGGGCGGGGGAATGGGCAATTCAAAAAGTATGTTATTTGATGCTATGACTCCATCCATCCATCTATGCTATGCACAAACACTACAACAAATTTCTTATAACAAATAGGAACTTCTTGCAATAAACTAAATTCCAAGGAAAGAATGAAAACAGGAAGGTAGCTGGTTTATTTGTACCTACTATGTGAGAGGCACTGATTTAGTTTTTGTTTGTTTGTTTGTTTTTAATGTTTACTCATTTTTGAGAGAGCATGAGCAGGGGAGGGGCACAGAGAGGGGGACAGAGGATCCGAAGTGGGCTCTATGCTGACAGCAACCAGCCCAATGGGGGCTCGAACTCATGAACCATGAGATCATGACCTGAGCTGAAGTTGGATGCTTAACTGACTGAGCCACCCAGGCGCCCCTGGTTTAGGTATCTTTATAGACACATTATTCCATTGAACTTTCACAATCCTATAAATTCTTACACTCAAGAGTTTGCATTGCTTGCCAAAGTAACCCAAACTCCCAGTGACAGGGGCATGAGTCATATCCAGCTTGCTTGACTCCTTGATTACAAAGTCCACCATCCCCATTTACCATGATTCTGAGATTCATGAGTATGTAGGGGCTATCAGGAAATGTAAAAAATGTCCATTTTAAAGAGTGCTTTTTAAAAATTTTTTAATGTTTATTTATTTTTGAGAGAGCAGGGGAAGGGCAGAGAGAGAAGTCACAGAATCTGAAGCAGCTTCCAGGCTCTGTGCTGCCAGCACAGAACCCGACATAGGGCTCAAACTCACGAACCGTGAGATCATGGCCTGAGCTGAAGTCAGCTGAAACAAGCTGAGTCATGGCCTGAGCTGAGTGTTTTACACTCTTTAGAAGCAATAGAAGCAAAAGCCGAATGACATAATGTGAGAGCAAATAGCTTGTATGGGAATCTGTGGGAATGATGGTGGATGAGAATTGTTTTTAAATTAGTTCTTTTGTAAATTGCAAAAAGAAAAAGTTCTCGTTTGTAGTGCACACTTTATAGTTCACAAAGCACATGGGAACAGTGAAGATAATGATGGGTTATGGTTGCAATTCATAGGAAAGGAGGTACAAGGAAATTGAATGAAAGGAGATAATAATTTACGTACATAATCAATCTTCTTTAAAAAAAATTTAATCTGAAAGTACATTTCTGCCACCTATCTTCTATTCGGTATAATAAAGAATGAGAGTGATACAGAGATGAATTCTAGTTCAGGGTTTTGAAAGGCCAACCAGCTTTATGGCAATGCTCGAGCTTACAGTGTTAACAAGATAGCACAATTTGATATGCGGTTCCTGCCAACCAACTTTAGAAATAATTCCATCTTCGTGAGAAGTCTGCAAGAACCACAAACCAAACCTCAAAATAGATTCGAAGAGAAAATACTCTTAGAAAAAATTTCCCTTCCTATCAGAAGCAGACCAGAAGGAAGCTTACGCTCCCACTTACAAGTTCCCCAGAAAGCTTCATCTAGAAGGTTGTTACTTTCTTCAGACACACAGCGGGTCACTCTTTTCTGAGGCTCTTGCCTCTTCCATGGCCTCTTCCAGAGACTAAGACACCAATCTAGAGAGCGCCATGGGCCTCCGGACCACTAAACAGATGAGGAGAAGCACAAAACAAGCCTCTGGTCACCACGAGGGTATGTAGGTATTTGCTGCTTTTCTGCGTTTCTCAAAGCTGAGCTTTGGGCTGGAGGAGGCTCCTTTAGTGATCAGTCGCTGACACTGCATGCTAACAGCGATTATGTTGTCTCTTACATACGTCTTTCCATCCTCACCTGCCCAGGCCGATGTGGATTCTTTAAAAACCCTTAGGAGAGTCCTGTTACATTTAAATTGCCTATAACGCTTGTGTAATAGACTTATGACTGACGATAGGTTTAATTAAAATACAACTGTCTTTGGGAAGCCTGGGTGGCTCAGTGGGTTAAGAGCCGGACGACTGCAGCTCGGGTGGGTCCTGATCTCGCGGTTCCCGAGTTCCAGCCCCGCGGAACTCAGAGCCTGGAGCCTGCTTCAGAGTCCGTGTCTCCCTCGCTCTCTGCCCCTCCCCCGCTCACTGTCTCTCGGAAAGTGAATAAACGTTGGAAAATTTTTTAAAAAATACAACTATCTCTAATGTATTCTTAGTAAACGACGCCAGTCTGTGCTCCCGTAAGTAACTGGCGCATGTTCCCCTTTAAATTAGACCTTAGTGGTTTTCTTGGAAGAACCGATTCCGCATTTCCGAGAGAACCCCGGCTATTTTTCTAGAACGGCTGTACGGGTGTGGATCAGGCGCTCTCTCGTTTGCCTCCCTTTGTGCAGCATCTATCCTGGAGGCCACGTAATAGCTATCGCCCAAAGAAAACTCCGAATCGCGGTTGTTCGCGTGTGCCACCATGCAGCGGCATTCGCTGCCCAAAGACCGGGAGACTTTAAACAGCAGATCGCGGGGCCTGCGGTGGGAGAGCTGCGTGCCGGCCCCGGCGTGATTAGGGGCCAGCACGGCGACCCGCGACTGCAGCCGGGATTTAAGGCCACCGATTCCTTCGCAGCCAGGCCGGGACGGCGCTCGAGGGGCCGCCAGGTCGGGAGCCTGGGCGCGCGGCAGGAAGGACGCCGGCTGCGGGCGCTGCCCGAACTGGCGACGCTCCGGGCACGCGGGCGCCCCTCCCCGCGCCCCGGCCCCGGCCCGCGCCTGCCGAGGGAGGGAGTTGGCCGCGCCGAGAAGGGGCTTTGCTAATTGCCGAAGCAGGAAGTGAGCACGCGGAGGACGCTGCGGAGAGTCTGGGAGGAGGTGGAGGAGGAGGAGGAGGAGGAGGGGCGCGCAGAGCCGCGGTGGTGAGCTCCGGGCGCGTCGGCACGGCAGGACCTGCCATCCCTGCCCTCCCGCTCGCCAACCCCGTCCCCGAGGTCGCGCAGCCCCCTTGGGCGCTCGTCTGCCCCACCCCGCCCCATGGCTTTCCCGGACGGCCCTCTGCGCGCAGGTAAAGTGATACCGCGCCGCGCCCTCACCTGGAGCGGGAACCGCGGCCCGCGAGCTCGCCAGGCTCCCGCAGCTACCGTGGGGCCGAGCCTCCCGCGACCCCCGGGGCTTCCCGGGACGACCTTGGACGGGGCGCCGCACCCCGGTCCGCGCGGGGTCGGGCCGGGGACCGCGGCGGCGCCCGGGGCCCCGAGGGCGCGGTGCGAGGTCCCCCCCGCGAGCGGCTGCCGATCCCCGCGGGTCTCGCTGGCCTCCTGCGCGCCCGCCGCCCCCACCCTTCGGCACCCCCACGCGTGCCTGGGACGCGCCTTCCCTCTCCCCGTGCTGTGGCCCCCGCCGCTTTTGTTCTGGACTCGGGATCCCGGTTGAAACAAGTCTCTCAAGCCTCTCTGGCAGGAAAGAGCGCAAGGAGTGGATTTCATTCTTTCCTCCCTGGCTCTTCCTTTCTCCCCACTCACAGGCCTTCTCATTTCTCCTTTGCGCTCCTCTTTTTCACTTTCATTAAATGCTTTTGTTCTGTATGTACGTTGGCCCTCAGAGCCGTTGCATGAACTGGTATCCAGGAAACCGAGAGGCTGATCCCACCTGTGGGATCCCACCTGTAGAGGCCTTTAATTAGAATGGTCTCTAGTTCTGTCCTTATGTTAAAATACTGTGTGTACCCAGGCCAGAATCTCGATTTTTCTTTCATCTCTTACTTGATTTAAGGGCCTCCTCAGACTTCACCTTCCAGGATTTCTGCCCTTGCTCTCTCATCGTCTTGGGATGAATGAATGAATGAATGAATGAATGATCGAGCTACTCCCCGGGGCACGCTAGGGATTTTTCTCCTTTGCTGAGGTTGGAAAGGCTGCGGAGAAAACCACATATACAGAACTGCCTGTAACTGCGTAGATAAACGTGTTTCCTATTTTCTGGCTTGGGCTTGGGCAGGGACAGAGCAACATTCCATCATTAATCTGTGGTTTGAGCAGTTAGGAGGAGACAAAGTATCTGGAGGTGAGTCAGAAGACAGCTACATTGGCATCATGGTGTGCTAAGTTTGGGAGAGTTTCCTGAAGATTTTGAAGCAAGGTCTAAATTCTTCTTCAAGTGGGGAATTGGGTAAATGTGTTTTCCAGGGAAATGGGAAATAAATCAGTTGTCTGGATCTCCTTTCCCTCCCCCCATACCCACTGTTTGGGAAAAAAACAGAAAGGGCAGCCACCCCCACTCACCTCCGCATCCACGTCTTCCAAGAACGCGATGGACAGACAAGTGCCAAGCGGTGTGAGGCCCGATTTTACCAACAGTCGTCTCAGATCTCATTACATGATAGTGGCGAAGGGGCTTCAAAAAGATTGGGGGGGAGGGGGTACGGGGATCCATGGAATGGGGACAAGTGTAAAATCTGCTCGGGCCCCCCAAATTAATGGCACCAGAGAAGACAAGGCCCAGGAACTGCCCCTTAATAGTGATACAGTGTGTAAAAAGCCTCAGTGAGTCATGGTGTGAAGAGGCCACCAGGGCAGCCAACGTGGTCTTAGCGGACCACACTAGCACTACAGGATCTAGAATTCCTGTCGTGGTGTTCTTGCTCTGCCTGGCCCAGCCAAAATGGAACAAAGGACTTGGAAATCCCAGCACATGAGGCGTGACCAGAGGGGATGACGATAGGAGGGTGTCCTTCAAAAGAAATTGGTCTCCTGAACTTTAAGAGGTAGAACCCAAATCCGTACGTGAGATCTTTCTGGCTTCCCACAGAGTGGGGAGAGACCTCCGAAGGTCGAGGTCTCCTTGTCACTCGCAAAGATATAGAAGAACCTATTCAGACATCCGAAAGATGTCCCCCTGTCCGTTCCCACTCTGGGAGTCTATCAGTAAGAGGAGGGTTCCTCCATCTAAAAAAAGATCGAAAATGACTTTCCCTTTCTCATTTAATGTCTATAACCTCCAGCGCATACCCGCCCACCCCTTCTGTTTCTGAAATGAAGCCACAGATGGTGCCAATTTGTGGAACTCATTAAAGGGAGTCTTCCCTTCTGCATCTCTGACCAAGCTCCCAGGCTCTCTCCTGACTTCCTGCACTCAGCGCTCACCTGCCGCGTTCACACCTACGCTTGCCTTTTACCCGCCGCTTCACCAGAAGGTGGCCAGAGACCTAACAGATCCTGCACTTGTCTACTTAAGAAACCTGCATGGACTTTTCTAACAGATTCTCAGTCCTTCAGAGGTTTTCATTCTACGTCCGTCTCTACCCACCCCTGTCGTCCCTGCCCCTTCGCAGACATTGTTCCCATTGTCCGGAAGGCCCTCTTCACCGCCCCCCCAACCCCACTCCTGTCTGTCTCCAACTAGACAGTAAGCTCTTGGACAGAGCTCACACCTGTCACGGTATTCGGTGATGTGGTTTCCGAGTGGTGGTGGGGATCCGGAACCAAAGGACACGAAGGAATTCTTGAGACGTCTTTGGTGCAAAAAAAAAAAAAAAAAAAAAGGTGATCTTATTAAAGCACAGGGACAGGACCTGTGGGGCAGGAATCGATGCCCCGATAGTGAGGAGTGGCTGATTACATACTTGGGAGCTGGGGAGGTAAAGGCAAGAGGAAGTCTCCAACAGCATTTTCATATGCTAAAGAAGACTCACAGATCCTGGAGGCCTGGCTGTCTTCTTGCTAAGGTTGTTTTCCCTTCCAGCAAAGCCTCAACATCAAGACAGTAGGGAGGTCCTGGAGAATTGTTACACTCGACAATTGTCAATGGGCTGCAGGTTATAAGGCCATTTAATTTCGTCTACCATTTGCTTCTGCCTCTTTTTCCCACACCACTCAGCGCTTTGTAAGCCCTGGTTAAATACTTACTGCCTCACTGAATGAATGGAAGAATACAGTTTAACCACATATGCTTCAAACCGTGGGCAGTAAAAGCTTTTCTTGTTTTGACATTTTAGAAACTTCTTCATCCAGTTAGGTATGTCAACTGAGTTTACCTTGTAAAGATAAAAAAGATGTTTGTGTCTTCACGTGCAAATAACAAAGGTATATATATACTGTCATAGCAGGTTATGAGCTTAGTGTGAGGAAACAACGTTTTGCACTAAGAAAGTCTACAAGACTGTTGGGGTCACACGGAAGAAAAACAGTCATGCAGGTTCTAGTAAGGCTGTCTCACTCTATCTCTGCCACTAATAAAAATCGAACACGGAATGAGTCAGATCATCTGTGTCGGAGATGAGTCCAGTCTGGCTCACGTTCATACAGACCTCAAGCCAGAAGCAAAGAAAGAGGCTTTGAAACCTTGGGTTGAGGAGGTGGGGCTGAATCACTGCGATGAGCTAACTGCCCAGGGCCACCAGCTCATGGGCGCATGTCCTTCCTTTGTTCTGGGGTCCCCGTTTGCACTGTGCAGTGAGGCTGCTGGTGGGGCAGCAGTTCAGGACAGCCCTGGGTGGCCCCTCATCTCTCACTGCCCCTCCCAGCACCGCCCCCCGCCATGAGTTTAGGTGGGTCCCAGGTAGCAGTGGGAATGGAAACCGGGACAGAAGAGCCAACTGCTTCAAGGAGCACAGGTCTTTGACCAGCTAGACCGGCTAGCCCTTCTTCAGATGCACCTGAGAGCCGTGGCAAGCTGGAGTTCTCCTTTCTCCTTTTCTTCTTCTTCTTTTTTAAGTTTATTTATTTTGAGAGAACGCGCATGCTGCAGCAGGAGAGGGGCAGACAGAGAGGGAGAGACAGAATCCCAAGCGGCCTCTGTGCTGTCAGCACAGAGCCTGATGTGGGGCTCGAACCCGTGAACCCTGAGATTGTGACCTGAGCTAAAGAAGTCAAGAGTTGGATGCCACCATCTGAGCCACCTAGGCACCCCCTGGGTGTGCACTTTCTTGACCCCTGGTCCTTCTTCCACTTGTTCAGCACCTGATGTGAGGTCTGCAGACGACAGGGAAGAAGAGAAAATAAACAGTGTGCCAGCACCACCAGAGCACTGCCTCCCTGAGACCTTGTGTCCCAAATATGGTTAGGGCTCTAGGACTTCTTCATAACCAGGAATGAAAACAGCCGTCGGTCAACAGAAAAGCGATCGTACGCACAAAATCCTAATAACAGAGGAAAAATAAGTTCGCTCTGAAACTGCAAGTTCGAAACTTGTCTTGAGTTCTTCGCTCGAAAGCACACAAGGCCTCTCACGGCTCCTGGTTCCCTGGGAAAGCCAGGGCGCTCCGGCATGCTTCCCTCTTTGTTCGCTCTGAAAGAACATCCTTAGAGGAGGTCTTTGGATTTCCCTTGACAGACTGTGTCTAGGAACGAGTGGCGCCCGTGTTCCGTGGCTAATGAAGGGAGGTGTTGGAGCGGAACCATATGGCTGTTGGGTGGCTCACCAGGATGTGTGTTGCAAAATAGAGGACGGTTGCTTCTGGAGAGGCTGTGGGCTGCGGTCCACGGTTCTAAGGATGCGATTTGGGTCATTGAGCGGATGAGGAGTCAGGAGGAGATTTGGGACTTAGAGCTGGTGCTGGAATGCATAGTACTTTGGGGGGACGCTCGGTGCCTGTATTTTGCACATGGGAGGGATGTGAATTGGGGGGGCCAGAGAGTAAACTATGATGGGTTGAGCTGCGTTCCTCCAGAAACATTGTTGTCATTCTAATCTCCAGTACCTCACAATGTGACCTTATTTCGAAATAGAGGCTTTACAGATGTAATCTAGTTAAAATGAGGTCATTAGAGTAGGTCCTAATCTAACATCCTTATTAAAAGGGAAAATCTGGACACTGAGATTCCCCCCAGGGGAGCATGTCAGGTAGTCAGTGCATGAACTTCTAGAAAGTAGTGGAAAATAGGCAGATTAAAAAAAAATTTTTTTTCAATGTTTGTTTATTTTCGAGAGAGAGAGAGACAGAGCGTGAGTGGGGGAGGGGCAGAGGGAGAGGGAGACAGAATCCGAAGCAGGCTCCAGGCTCTGAGCTCTCAGCACAGAGCCCGATGCGGGGCTTGAACTCATGAACCATGAGATCATGACCTGAGCCGAAGTCAGACACTTAACTGACTGAGCCACCCAGGCGCCCCAAAATAGGCAGATTTTGAGGTCACAAAGTCCCAGATCCAGATGCTGGCTCTTGTATCACCCTGTGACTTTAGGCACACAGTTATGTAAAAAGGGAGGCACCAGAACCTTCCTCGGGGTTCCTGTGAAGATACACTGAGCCTGGGGGTAACCCCTGCAGCACGGGCTGGGCACCAGCTAAGCGGGAGCTCTAACGGGAGTTTCAGAGGAAGGTGCTGACCGCGGCTTCCTATATCATTCAGTGACCTTAGCCTGAAGATGCTCTTTGGCCGATGGGGCCACTGCTTCTCACCGCTCATGGACCTTTAAAGCTGGAAGGACGTGTGGAGGCTCAGTTCACCCCTGACTATTACAGATTAGGAACCTGAGGCCCAGAGAAAGAAGAAACGAGCGAGCAGCCTGCCTAGCTTGCTCTCCCCTGATGTCTCCGAGAGCCGGCCCAGGTGTCCTCCAGGGCCACGCTGCGTCAGGTCACCACGGGCTTCTCTCGTGCCTTTTGAGAACTCTCCAGAAGACGCTCATATAAATTAAACATCAGTGCCATCAGTGAGATCCTTTTTGGTCAGTTCCCAGGTAACTTGGGGTGGTGTGTGTCTTCTTGCCTGGAGACATTGATCCCGGAGTCGAGGTGGCTTTGGGAGGAAAGCACTGCCAGAGAGAGCAGGGCTTCGGCTGGGAGCTAGGGGAAGTCCCAGCCTGAGCTCATGTGGTCCCCCTTTCTGTTTTGGCTCCTCCCGTGCCCCGTGTCCCAGCTGCTGTCAGAGCCTTGCCTGGGGGCCCTGCCCGCAGTTCCCTGGAACTTATAAAAAATAAACACTGTAATGCTTCTAAATAAGAGATTTGATTTTGTATGTAATAATACTGTAAACATGCAGCTCCAAGGGCTCTCAGAAGTCCTTTAGGGCAACTTCCTACTTCCAGACCAGTGTCAGAGAATCAGGATCAGCCCTCCTCCAAATACCCTCCTTGGTACACACCCACCCAGGCCTGGCGAACACAGGAGGCTGAGCGCGAACCACAAGGACGTCCCGGGTGGGAGAAGGCACGATGTCAGGCAGGGCACATTGGGCACCACGCAGCCCTGGGTCTGTGTGCGTGCTTGGCAGTGATGTGCACAGAAGAACTTCCTCCACGGCCTGATCTACGTCAGAGACTCCAATGAAGGTGATAAAAGACCTGGACGCGCCTTTACTACGGGGTCCGAACACACCGCCTTTCCGGATTACCCTTTCGCTTTGCTGCCGTACATCAGAAAAGGAAAAACCTGAATTCCTTGTGCCCTTGCCATCATAAATTCTGTTTAGTCTCAGAGACTTCAGACCAAAGCAAGAGACTTTGGGCCTCCAAACACGTGCCATCATCCGCCTGGCTTTTCCTGTTCACCTCATACCTTTGTGAGGCACGCTCATCCAGCCTGGGGTTCCCAATCCTGGCCTGACCACAATATCCATCACCTGGGGCCCCCCTAGCCCCCCTTCCCCCCACCCCGCAGCTTACAGGGGAGGAGCCTGAAGCCATAAGCACTTAGGTGAGTCATCCAAGGTCACACTGGCTCAAGGCCAGACCACTGCTCTCAGGATGTGGCAGGGAGAACCAAGGCCTTCAGCACCCAAGCCCACTGTGCCTTCCTTAACTGTGCTGTTTGAGTCCTCACTGCCACTTTTGGTGTGATTCTGCCTTTCCTGACCATGTCCTCCGTTTTCTTCCTCTTTTTCCTTCCTTTCATGCTAATTTTTCTGTAGGAAACAGAACTCACTTACAGATACAGCGGGTGAGGTCTGCATGAATTCTGTTAGAGTCATTTGGAAACCACCACCTCCCCCCCGCCGCCACACACCCCTCCCCAGCTCTCTAGGTCCTGCATGCCCCTTGACCTGAAATGCCATTGTTGATACCTGCTAATATACCACACCCCCGGTGGGGGGGCAGGTTTTAAAGTATTATCATCCAGAGACGCCTGCCTGTGTGGCTCAGTCGGTTGAGCATCTGATTGTCGATTTCAGCTCAGGTCATGATCTCACGGTCCTGGCGTTGAGCCCTGAGTTGGGCTGAACATGGAGCCTGCTTGGGTTTCTCTTTCTTCTCCCCTCTCTCTGCCCCTCCTCTGCGCTCGCTCCCTCTCTGTCTCTCAAAATAAAAAAAAAAGCATTAGCATCTAAGTATGCTTTAGTGAAAATGAAATTGTTGCAACAAGGCCGTGATAGGTGGGGAGGGAGGAAGGAACTTGAGATTACTCAGTGACGGCTTCCACCACCCTGTCTCCAGCCAGGAACCGGAAGGAAAAGAATGAGAAGGAAAAACTCAAAAACCAAACTCGGTGTGTCTGGCCGGACATATCTGAAGTATACCAATGTGCCATGTTCTTTATCCCCTCTCAGCCTTCTCCCATGCTGTTCCTTCTCTCTAGAATGCTTTTCCCTCCCCAACCCCTTCTCCTGGCTAGCTTCACTTCATCCTTCCAGACCCAGCTGTCCATTCCCTGGCAGGATCTTCTCCCCGCACCCCCCCGCCCCCAACCCCACCATGTACCCCAGGCTGGGCATTTATGCTTCCTCTTGTTTCCATAGCATTCTGCACTTGTGTTTCTTAACGCTGAGGGCTCTGTATTATAATGACTTATCACTTGGGCAGGAGCAATTGTGAAAACTCTGGGTGAAATCAGCAACACAGGTGGTTCCTGTTTTGTTTACATGGATTTAAATCCATATTTGAGTCCATATTCCCCTGGGCTCCCAGGAAATTCCTTTTCAGTCCGAGTCGGGACCTGGCCCCTTCCTCAGGGTCACACGGGAATCTGAGAGGATGATGTGGTGCTTGGAAAACTAGAGAGGGGCCTTGAATTTTTAGTACATTTTGGTGGGCATTGGTGTCCTCGGGGTCTGGGCCTTACAGGACCCTTGCGATCCAGCAGCCCTTTGTTTCTGTGCTAGACACAAACCACGGGTCCCTTTGCTGGGGTTGGGAAGTCCCCTTGGTGCATCTCCTGATGTGGCCTTGCTACCTCTGGGCTCTGCCAGGGACCAGGCCACGGTCCCCACTCATGAGGCTGCAGATGTCTGTCCCCTGCTCTGTGGAATGACACTGGCGAAAGCTCTCCTCGTTTGTCCCCACTCCTCTGGGCCATCTTGTTTAATCTCTCCAATGACTAGGCTGTCATAAAACAAACAAATAGATGTTCCCTTCACACTGCTGCTCCTTTGGGCATTGTCAACACCTGCCAGGCAAAGACATGGGGAAAGTCCAGGCACATTCTAGAAGGGAAACATCTAGGGAGAACAAACACAAATTATTATAAATCATCTTGCTATGCTCATTTGGATCCCCAAAGGCATTTCCTGGGTCTAAGTGCCTGGTCCACAGTGTATACTTAATGAAGATCTGGAGGGAAAAATGAAAGTTGAAAAGTCGGCTGACCCAAGGCTGCCACTTAGGGTTTCGTGGGTGGTGTGCTGCACAAATCTCGAGGACCCCCTCCCCAAACAGATTTGGTTCTTTATTAAGATAGTTTTCTGGCAGATGTCTGATAAAGTGTCTTGGAGAGGGGAACTTTTTTCTACTTTGTGTAAATTCTTAAGATGTAATTGTGGCTTTGACCGAGGCCTATCCCTTTTTCTGCATTTCCTCATTCAGTTCCTGAAATGCAACAAGTGGTAAATAAGAAGCAAACATATTGGGAAATCAAAGTCACTTTTTGTTTGATAATGATACTGGGAGGCATTTCTGACTTTATTCATTTGCATAAACCACATCCAGATGCTTAGTATTTTAAAATTATAAAAATGAGGGGCACCAGGGTGGCTCAGTCGGTTAAGCGGCTGACTTCAGCTCAGGTCATGATCTCACGGTTGGTCAGTTCGAGCCCTGTGTCGGGCTCTGTGCTGACAGCTTGGAGCCTGGAGCCTGCTTCAGATTCTGTGTCTCCCTCTCTCTTTAGGAAATGGAGAAAAGCAGAAGTCAAAGTTATAATCAAATCCAGTATGCCACACAGTCCTGAGAATGACATCTGCATAGTTCATGACTATTTGGAACTCTGAGTGTTTATAGATATCTACAAGGAAACTGTCCCAAATTATGGTGGTTTTTTTTTTTTTTTTTAATGAAGTTTATTTGTCTTAATCTCTTTCTTGGTGTGGTCTGACCCCATTCCTCCGGAATTTGTTTTCAGTAATGATTCAAAGTCAGTGTTTCTCAAACCTGATTAGGGTGGTTTGCATCGCTGTGAAGGCAGTTCTCAAAGGACACCTTTGTGCTCTTAAATTAAATACTCTCCACTTGTTTGTTTGCTTTTTTCAGATCATATGGCAAAGGAGCCAGTGGAAGACACGGACCCTAGCACTTTATCCTTTAACGTGGTAGGTTACAAACTTTACATGAATGGCGATAATTCTTGTTATTCCTTTTTCCCCTTTGTTGCATTTTTATGGCTCAGTATTAACATGAAGATCAGAAACCCCAAGTTCGGTTTTCCAAAGATAAATGTCTTTATCACAGTGTTCTCTGTGACGTAATAAACTTTGGGTTTCTCTAAGGCTAGAAATGGTATTAGGTTTCTGTTCTTGTTTGGCATGTACCAGAAGTGATCTGCTTAGATTACATCAGGTCTTTGTACGTTTGTCTACTCAATACTTATCTGTCTCCTTTTGACTTCCTCTTCTTCCAAATTCAAGTTATTTAATGTGAGATTGAAGGAAACGACAGGGCTGCCTTCCAGTAACTGGGGGCTGCCCATTCACTAGATGGGCGTCCACCGTTTGATTCAGTGTGTTATTGCATTTAATCACTGCAACCTCCCTCCAGGTAAGCACTGCCCGTTTTACAGATGAAAGACTGAGGCACAGAAGATGAGGTTAAGAGGCCCGACTGGAAGCGGCCCAGCGGCTGGCTTCAGGTCCCTGCCCTGCCTTCCCATAACCACTCGGTAGCATGTCTACTGCTTAAGGTTTACCGAGGACTTCACATACATCATTCTTCATCCTCCAAGTAAGCGGTGAGGTGGTAGGACAGCTGTTTTTACCCCCATGCTACAGAAGAAGCAAGGAAAGTGAACTGATTTGTATAAAATCACCCAGACTGGAGCCCTGCTCTCCTATGTGGTACTGCCTCTTGTTTTATGACCGAATCAGTGCCTTTGGCAACGTTTCATGTGTTATTATGCATATAGTATGTGACACATTTTCTTCTTCTTTCTTTCCTCTCCTTCCTGCCTCCTTTCTTCCTTCCTTCTTTTTTTCCTTCCTTCCCTCTTCCTTCCTTCCTTCCTTCCTTCCTTCCTTCCTTCCTTTCTTCTTTCTTTCCCTTTCTTCTCTTCTCTTCTCTTCTCTTCTCTTCTCTTCTCTTCCTTCTCTTTTCTTTTCTGTCAGCATTTGGAGGAGAGGAACTGCCCAGTCATGAACAATTCTGAGGAACTAATCTAGTTAGAATGACATAAATGCACACAACAATATAATTAAACAATACAATTCAACGAAGTGTCTTTAAGTCTTTGGTGATTCATGCGGCACCTGTGTCTCAAAGCCCTGAGATGTTTGTTCTCACATCTTTAGTCAGCGCTGCAGTTTCCTAAGTGAGAATGGGACGGAGCTGGACACACAGTGGAAATCAACATGAGAGAATCCCCTGTCCCTGCGTTCCGTAAGGACGGGATGCAGAGCAGCCCTGTGGATCATTCCTGTCATCCCCCGTGCTGTGGTTCCTTACGAGAGCCTTTGGCTCCTATAGGGTGTTACTCAGTTGGTCCTTCCTGTCCCTAGTGCCCGATCTGTGCTCCCCTGGGACTCCCACTCTCCCACTCTCTTCCCGACATCAGGTTCTCCCCTCTCTCCTTGGCTCACAGCTACTTCTGATCGCGTCTCCACGCTGGGCCAGATTGATTTTTCTAAGCCTTCCCTGGGTCAGTTTGCTGGAGTGGCCACAACAGGGCACCACATGATGGGTGACCTAAATGGCCCACGCTTCTGGAGGCGAGAAGCCAAACCCAAGTGTTGGCGGGGCCATTTCCCCCCGGAATCAGTGGAGGAAGAATCTTTTCTGCTCTCTGCAGGCCTGTGTGGTTGTCGGTAGCTGGCGGTGGCCCTCGGCTTGTAACTGCACCCATCCGTTCCCTCACTGCGTTGGCACGTGGCCAAATTCCCCCTGTGGGTCTGTGTCTCTTGTACAGACACCAGTCATCTTGGATTGAGGGTCCACTCTACTCCAGTATGATCTCACCTTAACTAGTCCTCTATCTATAGTGATTGCATTTCCGAATGAGGTCACATTCGGAGGTACTGGGCGTTAGAACTTTTAACAGGTCTTTTTTGGGGAGACGCAAATCAACCCATAACATGGCAGCTGCTCCTGGGGTTAAGCCTGTACTCTTCAGAACGGCACATGTGGTCCTCCACGACCCCATCTCAGCATCCCTCCTGATGAGTCAAGCTTGAGTAGCTATTTGCTGCTCCTGAAACACCCAGGCCTTCTCACCTTCCTGGGATACCAATAACCCTGCTCCATCCAGCGAAGAAAATCTCCCTGCTTCCTCACCTGATGAACTCCTGTTGTTCCTCGTCTTCTCAGTTCAAGCTTCGCTGACCTGTGATGCTTTCTTTGCCTCACCCTGGGGCCTTCTGGGGCCCCCTTCTCCACAGCCCAAACTCTATACTTTCTATCGCACTGTGCTGAAATTGTTTGCTTGTCTGAGTTTCTACAAGACAGTGTTGAACATCTTCCCATGCACAGCTGGATAGGCCAAGCTTCCCAAACACCTAGAATGGCACCCATTAAATCTTTCCACCTCACTTCCAGGATCTTCCATGTAAGCTGACTCCATCATTTCGTATCCAGCCCTGTCCCCCTCCAGCGTGTGTCTCTGCTTCAAGCTGATGGGTCTTCTACACCTGTCACTGTCCAGACCACCTGTGTCTGCCATCTCAATTACTGTGTTCCTTCCTCTTGGTCACCCAAGTTCTTGGGCATTCTCCAGGCCTAGCTTGAATGTCTTTTCAGGAAACCTGTGTTTGCTCCAGCCTGTTCATTCATGCAGACCTTTGGTAGATGTTCAGTTAACACTGAGTCAAAATGTGGAGTTGCAAAGATCATAGTTCCTTCTCTTGAAAAACTCCAAGTTTGTTCCAGGAAATAGACAACTACATACTTTAAAAACAGCCTGGTAAGTGTTATAGGACAGGTGTGTTTTCCATTCTCTGGAGAACAGAGTATCAAGAAGAATTTAGTGTGAGGGAAAACTTGACTTTTTAAGTTCTCCATGATTGATTGATTTCTTCTGTGGAAGAGGAGTTTGAGGCTCCTAGAGGTTCTGAAGCTTCACTGTTCATCTCCAAAGTAACTGCAAGGAAAGGGATTTAAAACAAAATTCTTGGTTCCACATTTGTTTCTTCTTCTCTTCTGTCAGAGGAGGACATGTGTGAGACCTACAGGCAAGTTGGAAGGTGTAACTTTCCTTTTAAGGCTGGAGGGCATGGACCCAAAAGCCCCAGATGGAGGGTGGGAGCTGAATAGGGGTTAGGGGACAGGATAGGGAGACTGGGCACATTCTCGCTCCTCTCATGTAAGTCATCAGAGAATTACTCCATTCTTTAATCGGAAGTCAAAGTGTTCAGAACATTAGATACCCGCATGGAGGTACCAACAAAGACATACATGATTGTAAGAGCCTTTGCTATTTTGAATTCCCCTCCAATGGAATTGCCCTCATCCAGGGCATTGAGGAACTGTATATGGTCATGCGTAATGAGTAGATCTTTGTAGATCTTTGTGCAGGTCAGTAGGGATGGTTGGCTTTTGAGTCCCATCCCAGTCAACCCAGGACAGAGCTCTCCAATAGTGAATACCACCTGGCACGCAGGCTTATTGACCCAAATGAATATCACAGAAATGATGACAAGATATCAGTCTATCCCCATAATTCGTGGAAACGTTCCTCAATTTTAAACTACAGGAAATAGGGGAAATAGCACTGCAGAAAAGAGAGGAAGTGTGGTTTAGTGGTCAGAGCTGAGGAAATTGAGAAGGCTTACTTGGTCTCATGTTCCAACATTAACTTCTTGTCAACGTAGATTTCATTTTTTATGAACTAAGCATAAAAACAAGCAATGGGTCGGGCCTGTTGATAAAGCCATGGCTAGAAACTTGCGAGGTTTTAAACTAAAATTATGACTTCCCCAAAACAAAGCTTTCTTTTCACTTTGATCTTACAATTGACTATGGTGTTTAAGAATAACTCTCTTCTTTTGTTGGTTTCCACAGTCAGACAAATACCCCATTCAAGATACAGGACTCCCTAAAGGTATGTACGGTTAATATAACTACTTGAACTTGTGATTATTTTAGTATCTTGAACAAAGCACCAGTCAAAGCAATTTCTCATGTGTAAAACAGAAACATAGTGATAATTTAGCTGACGACTTGTGGATGATCCCAGGCATGAATTTTCTTATTTAAATCTGTAAGATACTTCATTAGAAACTATCCATTAAATTCCTGTGGTGTTTTTCACATGCCTGAAATGAAGATAGCCAGGACTCTGGGATGCAAGTGACAGAAGTCTAACTCAAGTTAATTTTTAAAAAGGGAGGAGGGACATATTGGCTTAGGGTCTTTGGACGCTAAATCCAAGCATTTAAATGATGCTCTCGGGCTCGGTCTCTCTGTCTGTCCGTCCCTCTCCTGGCTCTGTCTTGGCTCCGGTTTTGGGCAGGCTTTCCCTTCATGATGGGAAAGGTGGTCACCAATGCCTCCAGCTTTATGCAGTGCCCCCTCAAGATGGCAGAGCAAGGTTGGGGGGGGGGGGTTTCCCCTAGCACCCACATAATTCTGGGGATGACTGTCATATGGGCGGTTTGGGTCATGTGGCCATCTGTGAATCGTCTGTTGCCATCAGGAGGATGGAAGAGGGCATTGGTCAGGTATGAGCCTTGAGGTTGGGTGGGGGAGAGTGTAGAGTAAGTTCTACCCAAACCACAGGAAGGAGGGTTCTCTTACTAGACAGAGGGGCAAAGGATGCTTGTCAGGCCCTAAAACAGAAAACAGACACACAGAAATCCCCCAGAAACCTATCTTTTGTAATTCACAGGCTAACGTTTTCGGCACAGTACAGACCAGAAAAATGGCTAGGCTCAGCCATTCCCGATTTCTCTTGTGGGGCCGTGCACAAAGCTGTATCTGCTCTGGAGGCCAAGCTGCTGGTTGCCCTACCGGAGCATTTACCTCGTGCTCTGCTGACAACCCAGAGTGGGGGAGGTGGGGGACAATCAGATCTGACCAGCGTCAGAGATGGCAGGGGCCCCCAGCTTCCTGGAGAGGTAGGGCTTCCCGGCACCCGCCAACATGGCTTTTCCTAAGCAGTCTTTGTGACGGGGTGATCATAGGGTCACCCAACTGGAGAGTTGGGAGGGAGCTCCCTGCCTGGGCCCACCTGAGGTGAAGTCTAGGGCTCTACCAAAGCTCCCTCCCCTCCATCCCTTATTCGCCAGACCCTTCTCCTTGCATCCAGAAATTACACTGTTAGAGTTTAATTTCTTTTGCCTCCCGTGCATGTCCTGGGGGTGGCAGTGATGTAGGGAAAAGAGACCGAAAGCCAAGATTGAGTCCACATCCTGGCTGTGGTAGGGGTGGCATCTGGCAAGCTCACTTCCTCTTTTCCCCCGTTGAATGACTTCTAAGTGTCCCGAATCCTCCAGTGTGTGATTTAACTCTTTAGTTCAGCAAGATGGTGCAAGGTGCAAGCCAGGCAGCCAGGGACAGATGGGAGGCAGCCTTGGGTGGTACTCCTCAGACTTCAGCGCGCACTGAAGAACCATCTGGGAGTGTGGGGGAGGCTCGTTTATAATGCAGATTCTGGGCCCAGCTGCTCTGAAATCACAACATGGTAGGTCTGGGGTCAGGCCCAGGCACCTGTGTGTATTTGCACACCTGAGTGGTTGGGATGCAGACCTCACTTTAAGAGCCTGCCTGGGACACCTGGTGGCTCAGTTGGTTGAGCATCTGACTCTTGATTTCCGCTCAGGTCATGATCCCAGGGTTGTGGGATCGAGCCCTGCATGAGGCTCCGCACTGCTTGGGATCCTCTCTCCCTCTCCCCCTCTCTCCCCCTCTCTCCCCCTCTCTCCCCCTCTCTCCCTCTGCCCCTCCTG